CAGGTGTCAGATCGGTATCCATTTGGTAGTTAATGTTGCAGAACAGGGTGTGTAAAGGATGCTCTGATTAAAAGTAAATATTGATATGGTAAATAGTTGTTTACCACTTGTTTTAAAAAAATCAAAATAATGGATATTTATGAAAAATATAGTTACTTAGAGGGTAATTGTATGTACGTGATAATTAATATACCTAGATTACAAGATTGTTTCAACAGTGACACAGAAATAAAAAAAAACAAAAAAAAACAGGTCAACGATCAACAAGCTACGTAGGAGTGAAAATAATCTTGCTTTTTCTCGTGTGTATATGTGCGCGCGCGCACGCACAATATATCTAAATATAAGATATAATGATTATATACATAAAGTTAAGTTTAACGTTTCGGATATATAATAAAAAAACAAATTTACTTAAGAACTTTTAAGTTGAAATACAAAATTATTTATTGTTTGATTTAAACAGTAAAAATTGTTTTACTTCAATTTAAAAAGTTCCCTTGGTGGGACAGAGGTAAGTATATAGACTTATAACTCAAATCATGAATTCGATTCCTCGCGGTGGACACAGCAGATAGCTCAATGTTGCTTTGCTCTAAAACGATCAATTTAAAAACTAAATAAGATTCGTTAGTTAGATGTCATTTAAGTCCATTTTACTTAATTTTACTCATTTCTTTTTTTAGAAGATACACGTATAATATTTTTTTGTTTTATATGTTTGATTGTTTCAGTTGTTTTTTGATTTCTTATACTTAGTTGGTGAGTAAAAATGCTATTGAAAGCTTCCTAATTGTGTTTGTTTTAGAGCAAAGCCACATTGAGTGATCTACTGTTTCCCCGCGGGGAATCGAACTTCGAATTTTAGTGTTGTAAGTTCGTAAACTTTACGCTGTCCCACCGGGATGACTCCTAATTGTGAAACGTGTGCAGTAAATATAATTACTCTTCTGTTTTTGGTTAGGTTAAAATTCCATCATTCATACTTTTTATAGACTCTTGTAATTTATTTTAACAGTCAGATTATTTGTTGTTTTTTTTTTCATTTTTTTTAACTATTCGCCATTGTGTTATCTCGTTTTTATGGACCCTTAACGACGGCTTTCATACATTACGACGTTTCTTGCCATGGTTTCGCAGGTTTGTTATCTATAGTTATTCATTATCGGCATAATCAGTGGCGGATTAGGGTTGAGTGGGCCCCGGAATCCACTGAAGAAATGGATCCCTTTAAAAGTGTATGTTTAATAAAAACAAACTTGCACAACAAATTGAGTTAGTAAAACTAAAATAATCAATGTGGAGTTAAGATCTAATTACTCGTACTTTTATATTTTAGTTCTTTAGTATAATTAAAATTGGGTAATTAAATAAAAGACCATGTTACAAATGTGGGCGCGTGTCATTTTTATGATTACTCATATTTGTGTAAAAAAATGTATTACCATAAAATTACGTTAGATGGAGGTTTGCTGGTTTTTTTTTTATATATATACTAGTGGGTTTTGGGTTCCTAGACCCGGGCCTATTGGATAATTTGGCACTGGTAGAATGTTTTGCATTTTATACTAATTTCAATAATCGTCAACATGGTAAGACTTAATATTTCCATGATTGTTTTTATATGGCGATTTTAAAGCCTTTCTGTGGTTTATTATCGATTTACTGTCGTAGTTTTTATTTATTCGTTTCATAAATTTTAGTTCGTTAATTAATTTGAATATATCGAATGTGTTATTATTTGTTTTTTATGGATGTGATGAGTTGTCTTTAAATGAAGGGCCGGGCGTGGCTAAATGGTTAACGCGACAGGGCTGTGAATCCGAGGTTAAGTGGTCCCCGGCCTGTGATAAAGGTGATCCACACTTTGGCACCATGGGTTGCGCTATAAGAGTGATAGTGAAATCCAAAATAGTTGATGGTGGGTGCTGTTGACTAGCTGTATTCTCAGTATGATCTATCATTTCAAAATTAAGGACGGATATTGGTGTTATTGTAGTGTTGATTCGTCATTTTTTTTTCTGCTTTTATGGTGTTTATTACGTGTTTATTTACATAGAATATTTATGCAAATAAAAACATAATTTATGTAATTGAGAATGATTATATTATACTCCAGAACCTCTAAAAAATTGATTACACTTGATACAGTCATTTAACGTTTTATGGAAATTTACCAGTTATACACTTAGAATGAACTTGGCTTTTGTGGAACGTTATTTCGTACAGACTTTATGTAACTCTGATCTTTTGAATAAAAATCTTTATGTGGATTTACTTTCAAATCTTTGAAAATTTACTTGTATACATTTTCCATATAAGAGAGGTGTAAGCAAGGGAAGGAGGGGGTTCAAAAAGAGAGAGATCTTGTATTATTTCCACTCGGAATCCTGTATACCAATATTAGCCTTTCCCAAAGTGTATGTGTGTGTGTGGGGGGGGGATTAGGGTAGAATTAATAGTGCAATAATGCAAAATTAATCGTTTTAATATATTTTTAGTATTGAAAATAAGTAATTACTACAACATAAATGGCATTTAATGTGAATCCGTGTGTTACAACTCGTCACTTAACTCACTCTTTCACTCGTTAAAAAAATGGTGGCGCGCAAGAAACCATATTTATTAAAGGGGGCGTGGATGACAAAATTTTGGCTAAATAATACGATCTACGTGGTAAAATTTGGGTAACAGAAGTATTCGTATGTTCATTTTTGAAAGAAAATATACCCGTATAAACTCGTATTGTACTGTTTATATAAGGTTTGGAATGTCTTAGTGGTTAGCGTGTCGGACTTTGAGTCTGAGGGTACATGGTTTGTTGCCTTTCCTCTATAGTTCATCTGTACAACACTGGGGGCGACTAGTACAAATATCCCTTGTATTTTTGCGCGAATATAAGAAGTATACAGAAAGACAGAATTGTTTATTAAAAAAAATTCGTACATATACGTAAAATTTCTTTCTGTAATAAATATTTTTACAGTTGTAAGCATTTATTAATTTAAACATAAAGGTTTCAAATTTTGGATGTTTTAACTGCGTTTGGGACAGTCTAATATACATTTAGGTTTATGTCAAAATGTGTTTCGAAGTGTGTTACGTGGGTTGGGGGGCGTTTGAAATTGTTGTGCATAAAAAGCAGACGAAAAAAAATATGGAAGAGTCAAGTGTTCGTTAGGTGAACGTATAATTTTTAAATAACTTGTTTTAAATAATAACTGATAATCACTATATATAAATGTGGCGTTGTCAGACAAGTTTTTCTAGGATCATAAAGCAGTTGATCTGCGCGTGGTAAAGTATGTCGCGCTACAGAAGGTAAAATTGGGACCATTTCTCAATGATTGAAATATTTCTCATACTTTTTTTTTTCAATGAACTGCGTGTCCTACATTCTTCCCGTTACTCCTCGCGATGGGGGGTGGGCGGTTTAGTCTGAGGCTTGACTTCAGATCTAGGTTCTGCCTTTGTCACGTGCGGAGTTGTAAAGTCGAAGAGTATGAATCGAAACCTACCCCCCCCCCCTCCCCATTCTTCTCCCAAGTTCGTGCATGCCACAACAGCAATGTTTCGTTTTCCTGAGATGATTATCTCGTGCTTTGAAACCCCGCTTATTTTGTTTGTTCACATTGCCATGGCGTCCACAATATTCTAAGTATTGTAATTAATTCGGTGATTTTACAGCAAATCCTTGGTATACTGTTGTTACCATTGACGTCCGCAGAACTTTTTCCAGGGGTGGTGGTGGTGGTGGTAAAACAGTGTGAAATGGAGAAATAATTTAATAATTTATTTACATATGCTGAATGAATAAAGAATTGTTTCTCACCCCCACCCACTGCTCGGACGCCCACGAATAACTTTTTCATAATCTATATTTAACGGTTTCCAACAAAATTTTTCATTTCAATGTAATAACATTTTGAGTTTAAAAATTGTAGAGTTTATATTTAACAGTTTTTCCCAGCAGTTATCTAAAGATTTTTTGACAAGTCTGACGTATTTATTGTTTATTTACCAATCGTTCACTTATATGATATTTCATTTACAAATATGCTCACGGAGTTGTGAAGAAGTCCACGAGCTGAATGCTAGGGGTTTTATTTTAGGAAACTTGCAGTGTCGGTCATGTGTTTATTACACTGTTCGTGTGTTATATGCTAGTGTTATAGCTTCCATGCATCGCTAAAGTAACGCTTAATTTATAATACATAAATAAATTGGACTTGATGTGTTGTTCAGCAATGAGTCTAATTCTCGACCAGTAAGATTGTATGAGAACTTATAAGATGGCTTTAGTGTTGATAACTAGGTCATTATTTTATCTCCTCCCATGGGCCACCTGCAAGTTTTTGGGCTTACAACACTAAAGGGCTCGGCATGGCCAGATGGTCAGGGCGCTCGACTCGCAATCTGCGGGTTCGAATCCCCGTCACACCAAACATGCTCGCCCTTTCAGCCGTGGGGGCGTTATAAAGTGACGGTCAATCCCACTAGTCTTTGGTAAAAAAGAGTAGCCCAAGAGTTGGCGGTGGGTGGTGATGACTAGCTGCCTTCCCTCTAGTCTTACACTGCTAAATTAGGGACGGCTAGCGCAGATAGCCCTCGTGTAGCTTTGCGCGAAATTCAAAACCAACAAACAACACTAAAATGCGGGACTCGAATAACCATGATGGACAAAGCGCGAATAGTCCAATGTGTATTTGCACCATAACAACAATAATAATTTAATGGAGCTTATTGTGTGGTCTTCTAGTTATATTTTACTACAATTTTATATTTAACTACTAAAACTACCTAACAAACAATTCCCAATTTTCTGCGAGATATTTAGACGACCCATAATTTGTGTTATTTTTAACCCAGTAAAGCGCTAGTGTTGCTAGTTGCGACGTCTAAACCTTTTACTAGTCTAGTTTAACCATTATCTTTCATAAAAGATATGAATATTTAAGGTTTTTAATATTTAATTTATTTCATCTCGTTAAGAATGATGAACTTTTGCGTCTGTAGAAGAAAGAAACAAAATAATTGGAAAATGTACGAAAGAGAACCGTTTTCCTGAAGGTATATTTTGTTTGATACGCCAGAACTCGTCGTCGTTGCCTAGCCGCTCGGATACGATCACGAAACTGTGGCACGATAATAAGGGATCAATTTTTCTTTAATTCCACTACTTGCTGCCTGCTGACGTGAAATACCACCTCGACCCCAGAACAGCAGTAAGTTAGCGTGCGTCGACGTGTAAGTCTTTCGGTTTTATCTCTCTCTTTCAAGCACTTTTTTTTTCTTGAACAGGATAAATGAGCGCAAGAATGTAGTCATTGGCGGATCCTTTTGTTAGGCTTGCACGTGCACTTAACTCATGGATATAGGCGTAAGACGTTAAAGGTCTTGGCTTGACGTGACCTCCAAACAGGCCAGTCCATTGTGAATATTTATTTATTCATAAGTGCAGTCGGTGGTAGGTAGCCAAAACAGAATCACAAGTCGTACTTTTTTTTCGTTGATTACTATTAAATATACTGTTTTTTTCCCCTTCCAGTTAGTGGTAAATGTTGCTATTAATGACGTAACCCATGCGTGTTTATATATTGTTATTGTTAAACAATTTTGATGCTCTATAACTCTAGACTCAAGGTCACTTCGTTTGTAGGATAGAGAATTCTGAGTATCAGAAGGGTTAGTTATACTTCCAGGTCTCGACCTTAACTTTAGAAGGCACTACCAAATGGTTGCTAGTACTCCTCCCCCCCCCCCCACAACTAGCATTACTAGCAAATTCAGGATTGCAACGACGTGATTCTTCTCTAAAATTAACTTTAACTGTGTTATAGTTAATCATTTCGTGATATTCCGTGTTAATAAATATATCTGTATTATTATATATCAATATATGACAGCGTGAGTAATATTCCATAGTTACTCCGAAAGCCGCCTGGAGTGGTCACCTGTTTTAACCACTCTCACCACTATACAGTAAGTTGTGTGTTGTCTGTAAGTCAGTCAGTAGACACTAAAAATGACGTCACTGAAGAGACGCTTAACGTTGCAAATTGTAATGTCGTGACGTCATTGAAACGTGCGCATGAATAACAAGAAATACAAATTTGTTATTCTTAATTTTTTTTTTTAGCTTTTGAAACAACGCTTTTGGGGACCCTGCTGAAGTACATCTAGTTAATAAATAATGATCCAGTAGCAGAAACAATAGTAGCAATAGAAGGCCTAACAGAACAAGTTTGAGTTAGAATACTACATTATTTCCGTGGCTTTAGTGAAGTCCAACTTGCGAAACCTTTCAGTATTTTCGTATGTATTTTTATTCATATTAATTTAAACTAAAAAAACAAATTAAAGAGTCATTAAATTATTTTGAATTTATCTTTGTTTTCATTGCCAACTTGTCACATTCCCTGGTAATTTTAAACACATTTTGATATAAAAATCTGTACTTTATTACCTACTAGTTTCCTGATAAAACTTCTGTGGCATGTTTTATTTCCAAATATTTTCGAATATCAAAAATCATTTTAATTAATCCACAAATTTTGATTTGGACGGAAACAATCAGGATCGACAGTTATAGTACCCCTTTGTTTACGGCAAAAAAAAAAGTTGTTTTTTTTGTTTTTTTCATAAACATTGCGGTTTAAACGCCGAAAGTCGGCGAAGCACAAGAAGTCAATAGGTCTAACATTTGTGTTAATCATGAACAAATTAAAAGGAATGTAGAAAACAACTCAAATGGGGAACGCAAAACCTGGAAGCGAAACAGTTTAGTTAATCACAGTTATAGTAACCTTTTGTACTCAGAATCTTCAAACAGAAATGACTGAAATAATAGTTGGTAGTAAAATCTGGGAACCTTACTTCTGAAACGTGTACTAGCAGTTTTTTTCTTTATTTTTCAGTATCTCTAAGTTTTAGAAGTAAAACTACAACACTAACGAACAATATGCTAGTTTACTAGTGTTAATTTCGAGTCCTGGGCCAATAACCTTCCCTGGTATTGTTTAAAAAAGTCCTCCCCCACTACTTATACATACGTCATACATATATCAATATCTCTAAAGATCATTGCCATTCGTTTGTTAACTGTGTTAAAATGAAGGTGTAATACAGTCGTTGCTTTTCTACCGACGCATAAAAAAAGTAAAATGGCAAAAAGTTTTTTTTTTTTTTTTTTTAAAGAAGTTTGACTTATTTCTCCCTACTTAAGATTAACGTAATTGTTTAAGATACAGAATTTATGTCCACAACTGTTTGTGTACTGTGTCTAGCGGCTTGTCTGTTATAACGTCATCCTCAGTAACGTCGAAACATGTAGAGTCGTCAACTTTTTGAAGGCCATAGATAGGCCTAAATAAAATGTTTTTAATTGTGTACCAGTTTAACTTTAAATATTATTTATGATTTTAACTTTATAACAAGTGCCAAAATACTATAATTATGGGCTAGTAAAGTTGGAAAAACAAGTAATTAATGGAAAGATTAACAAGACAATAAATAACACATTAAATGGACTTACTTTGTCATTAGTTTTCACTGGGCACTAAAGGCGAGTTTCTGTAAATAACAGTTTAATCGTTAATTCGAAAGTATTTAATTATTTATTGCAGATTGTTCCATGATTTGTTATTCACTCTTAGTTTAGTTTGATTTTATATCGATTTTATCAAATAAAATAACGATTTTTGACATTGAAATTTTTCTGATAAAACTTTAGTTTTGTTTGGATTTCCTCGTATAATAATGAAAAATCAGCACGACAGATTAATTGAAAGGTATATCAGAATTTATCTAGCGATTAATTTGAGGAATTCTATTTATTTTTGATCTTGTTTTCCTCTAAGAAAAACGTTTTACTAGTCAGTGTCTCAAGCGTTTTAACAAGTAAAAAGAAATACATTTTTGTCATATTGATAAAAAAAACTTAGATTTTTTTTTGAAACACCACAATTTTATCCTCTTTGGTACAGACGCTGATGAGTTTTTTTGTTGTTGTTTTTTTGTACTTGTACGCGGAAATTTCAACTTGAAAGAGCAGCAGGTGCACGTGTATCCAGACACTTAGCTCGTATTGGAGGCTTATACGAAGTTGTTTGTGGTTTGGTTGTCGTTACCACAGGATTTGATGATGATACTACTTACCCACGAGGATGAAAAGCCGTAAGATCGAACTCAAGGTCAAGAACACTAGGTGTTAATTACCACTTGTGCTTATAATAAATGTTTAATGCCCACTTCACATTATATTGTACAACTATAAAGGATTCGGCACAAAAACACGTGATTTGCGTGGGTGTTCTAGAGTGTTATGCCTAGAATAATTATTTAGTATCTAGTCTTGTTTAGTATTTGATTTTATCATGAACTACTATAGTGATTCGTAATAGGGATCACACAAGAATTTGCTCAAAACTCTTAATAGAACATTTAGGCAAAAAACCACCTTAAAAAGGAGACTTATTCTCGAAACAACACTCAATACCTTCTTAGTTAAGACCACCCAAACGTTGATAATAAGCAAAACAAGTGATTTCACGATTGTTAGACAAAATAAAAATGTATTCATATTATTATTAATATTGTTTCACAAACTTGCAGCAAAACCGAATGGGTATTTTGCCCCAAAATCTAGAGAGATATACCATATGAAATGATGAACTGTTTAAAAGTTGATTTACGTGATCATAAACACGTAATAGATGTGATGTTGTTATGAGCGACTGTCTTTGTCCTCAACGCGTGTTAAGCGCGTGTTTACGCGAAATCTCGGGCACAAAGCCACCTGGCTCAGTAAATAATTACTTTAAAAGACACAACTTTTTTTTTCTACTGGTAAAATGTTATATGTGCTTAATGGGGGTTGTCTTATTCTAGGCATATATTTGCCCATTGCTGTGCATTAACGAAGCCAACATACAAGATAATTAAAAATTGAGAATTTAAATTCTACAAATAGGGATCACAAAAAAGTAAGTAAATAAGGCTGGAGATGTGCTGCTGGAAGTTTGCTCAAGTTACAAATCCCTATTATGACTTCACTATAGTTATTGCAGTTGTTTTCTCCTGTAGTGTGGGATCGCACAGGAATTTTGCTGAAAACTTAGAGAGTAGTTTTAAACTTCCATATCCTCAATTTTGTCGTGCTGCGAAATTTTTTTAAGTCTTTCACTTTTCCGCCATAAAAAAATACGGTGTTTTTCTAGCGTGCGCGTTTGTTGGAACTACAACTCGTACATTTTCATGCGCATTAATTGGAAACGATCACGTAAAAGATTCCCGACTTTGCTGTTGCCAGTCGTTATTCGAGTTTGCTGTTTCAATGTGGATTTCCATGACTGTATTTCAGCAAATATTTAACACTGATCGATTACCATAATAGATTTCAGACGACCGTGGTGATTCTTTCTACTGGTTGTTATACTTAGCTGGAATCCTGAGTGCGTATTCAGTATTTATTACCACTGCATATAGTACTATTTCATATACCTATTGCTATTTTTAAATAGTTGGTGTTAAAATAGCGGTTGTCCCTGATTGGCGATCTACGATGAGTGTGTCACTGTTGTCTATTTTGCATGCATTATTTGTGTCGCCTTATTCTAACGCTTGTGCACACCAGGCTGTTGAAGAACATACATACCTAATAAGGTAATTTTGTCACTGAGTCTGTTTACATTATATTAATCTATGTTGTATTATCTTAGAATAAACATTATTCCGTTCTGATGAGATTGCTTTGTTGCTGCTCGTCTTTTGTTACATTACACTGTGACATTGTTGGAAGCAAGTCATTAAATCTGTGATGATAGTCTTTCCCTTCAAGAGGGTCTTTTGAGAACAACTTTACGTTTTGTTTGTTGTAGTTGCGTACCAGTACACGTGTTTATTTTTTGATGTACATTTGTTGTTTATTTTGAGTAAGTTCAGTGTGGTGGTTGGGTGGAAAAAAGCCAATGCAGCAGTAAACTAATGAAAAACGTAACTGTCAATTGAAAGCATATGCAAATATGTAGCTTAAAATTGATTCTCGTAAATAAAAAGACAAAAAGATTCAAGAAACAAGATAATTAAAAATTAATTTAAAAAGGGGAATAGGGATCGTCAAAAAGTGCATAAGCAAAGTTGAATCCAAAGGCAAATATAATATTTTCAAGCTTACAATTAAGGACTCTAAAAAAGTAAACAAACAAGGCTGGAAATAGTGTCTACA